GTGGTTTGCTGGTATGACAACGACTCTTAGGCCTTTCTTGGAAGTGTTTTCGGTGTAGTATCTTCTTGCGAGTATAGTATCTTCTTACGAAGGAGGACAAGTATAATTTGTAAAGGGCCTCCAAGCAAAGCCCAGGAGTGGGGCTACAGCTGCCGAGTTGTCGATTTGATCAAGCACATGGCCAAGGAGGATGCCAAGGCGTAAGCTGTCCACCCGAGGCTGCAAGCCTTTAAGAAAGTAGAAGATGTCGCAGTTGATGAAATCAACCTCCTCTTGCTCCTCCTAGACTCTTGGACTCTTCGAGCTCATTTTTCCTTATCGCTGCCGAGCGCAAGGCATTCCTGACGAACAGAGTGCTCTGCGAGTTTCTTTACATGCAGGTGTCAACGTGTGTGGCGACGATGTTTCGCTGATACTCAGGCGGTTTAGTTTAGCTGTTTGTGTTTAGATGTGTTTAGGATCGTGGCCATCGACCGTGAGGATGGGTATCGGATCTCGTGTATACGGCTGCTTGCTATAGCGTCCATGAGCACTATTTCAAATACTACGGATTCCTGAGTAACACTATACTACATATATATATATATATATATGTATTATATATATATATATATAGCATAGCCTCAAACAACGTTGTATTCATCAGGTCGCCTACTATCTTCCACCCGCAGCAAGTAGAATCTGGCTCTCTCTGGGCGTTTTCTGTACAGGCTCAAGGTTAACACTTGGGATTTCAGGGTTTTGGGTTTGGGGTGCGATGTTTTCGGGTTTGCGGTCTAGGGTTTCTTAATCCATAAACTCGAGCCTTCGCAAGTTGTTGTTCTCGCTTTCCCACGCACTTCAGCCCGTACGCTGAGCTTTCAAAACTACAAATCCATGCAAATAATTCTGAGCTGGCAACGTGCTACATACCCGAAATCCTACATGCGAGTTTCGGACGTGTTGGAGTTCTAGGGTTTAGGGTTGACGGGTAGACCCAAAATTGCAAGCACCTCAATTTGTGAATCCCCCCTTTCTTAATTCCCAAACCCCTTAACCTAATCCCTAAGCCCTAAACCGCAACAGGTTGGGGCTCTTGGATGACGGCCGCTGCTGCCGCCTGCTGCCTAAGCCAGTGCCCAAGCGGAAACTCACGAAGGAGGCGGGTTTCTGGGGTTGCTAAGTGCTCTGAACGTGCTTTTTGGCTTCCCTTTTGGTTTACGGTTCAGGGCTTACTGTTTTTTGCATGGGATCGCCGCAGAACCTCGGTGACTGCTACAGGCATCAAACAACTCCAAGTGTGTAAGAAACTCGGAAGACTACCAAACCGAGCTCCCTTTGAACACAGAAGCCTCTAAACAAACTTGGCACCCCTTGAGGCCCAAAATAACCCGCCAGCTTCGCCGAAAAAGGTCTCGCCAGGCCCCCGTATGCACCCGAGAGCTGATCACCAAACCCCAGCAGCAACAGTGCCTGGTTTAGTACACAATTTAAGATGTACTAAGTAGCAGTATTGCTCTCTCTTGTGTATTATGTATGTTGTAGAAAATATGCATGTACATATACACATACATACAGGTGTGGCACATACACAAACGTACATACATACATACATACATACATACATACATACATACATAAATGCATAGATGCATACATATATACATACATACATACTTACTTACTTACATACATACTTACTTACTTGCTTACTTACTTACTTGCTTACTTACTTACTTACTTACTTACTTACTTACTTACCTACTCACCTACTCACTCACTCACTCACTCACTCGCTCACTCACTCACTCACTCACTCACTCACTCACTCACTCACTCACTCACTCCATGACTCACTCACTGACTTATTTAATTACTTACCTACCCACTTGCTTCGTTACTTACTTACACATGTGTATATATTTTTACATGCGTACATATGTATAAACAGGTCTAGACACACGACCCACGCTGAACCTGGAGGATATGGTTGAAACCCTAACCCTAAACCCTAAACCCGACCCAAGCTGAACCCCTGGAGGATATGGTCGAGTCCCACAGGGGCTTTTGCTTCAACAGCTGGCAGCTGGACATGTCTGTTTCTGGCATTTTTATAGGGTTTAGGGTTTAGGGTTTAGGGATTTAGGGTTTAGGGGTTTAGGGTTTAGGGTTTAGGGGTTTAGGGGTTTAGGGATTAGGGTTTAGGGGTTTAGGGTGTAGGGTTTAGATTAGGGCTAATATAGGGGCCTTAATCATTCGAATAGGTTTGGGGGTATATTATCCTAATGATACTATACCGATAATAAGGAGCCCCCCAAAACCCTATTCTAATTATTAAGGCCCCTACGTTAAACCCTAAACCCTAAACCTCAAGGCTTGAGGGCTTTGGCGGCCTCCTCTCAGGGCTTAAGGTGCCCGCGACCCTAAACCCTAACCCGAGGGTCTAGGGTTGAGGGTTGTGGGTCTTGAACTGGTGGGTTTCGGCATCGGCTGTCGCGCAGTGAGGCTGAAGCCGTAAAATACGGGTCTCAATGATTGGTACTAGCTAGTAGTTGTAGTCTTCATATAGTTCTACCATAACATCTTCCTACTTAGCACCCGAAACACCCACAACACCTATAAAACCCGAATGCAGGAATTTCGCGACACAGGAGAGTTTAGGGTTTTGTGGGTTTCGTGTTTAGGGCTTCGAGTTTCGGGTCTTTGGTGGGGTTTAGGCTGTAGGCTTTTAGGGCTTGCTGTTTCAGGGTTTAGGGTTCAGGATTTAGGCGAGAAGTATGCGTCAATTTGTCCCAAGCTGCCATGGGTCAACAGCGATGTGGTCTTCAGGACCTCTAGCCGTATTGCAAGGGCCAAGAGAGAGATGGGTGGTGTGCCTTGTGCTCTGACCTTATATGTAAAGGGCTGGTTGCATGATTCCAAGCGAGTGCGAACCGCTTACCATTAGGCGATTCCATCCTGGTCACCCTAAACCCTAAACCCTATGATTCGGGAGCTTCCTCTTCGTCCAAAGCTGCCTCACGTTGACTATCACTGTGGCCAAGTCGCCATCAGCGTCACCGCCACCTCTACCATGACCACGGGGTAAAGCTTAAAGGGTTTAGGGTTGGTTTAGAGTTTAGGGTTTAGGCCGGCAAGCGAGGAAGCTTCAAGGTTTACGGTGCATGTCTTGAACTCTGCGGCCAGTCTGAATGGTGAAGGCGATAATCATTCATCATGTGCTGTATACCTCCTGCTATGCCGGCTACTGATTAAAAATCTCGATATTTCTATTGATTTGGTTCAGCTGTGGTTGGTGTGGATAGTAAGAAGAAACGATAGAATAGCGTGCCCAGACCCAATGCAAGCCATCCGACTCGCACCACATCATGATCCACCAATCTCTCCGAAATCTCCGGGGTTCGGCTGGGATTCTTCACCCCACTGAAACCTCAGGCTTTTCGGGCTTGTGCCTGGAATCTCATGAACCCTAAACCCCTAGAGATTCCAGAAAGGAACCCCCTAAACGCCAAACCCCGCCCGAAACCCTAAACCCGAAGCCTTAAACCCTAAACCCTAAACCCAACAGCCCACAGCCCTAAACCCCAAACCCTAAACCCTAAACCCTAAACCCAACAGCCCACAGCCCTAAACCCTAAACCCTAAACCCAACAGCCCACTTGAGCTTCTCAGGCACAGCGAATCCGTGGATGTCGACCGAGTGCAGGCCCGGGTCCGATCGCAGGAGGTTTTTGAAGGGGCCTTGGATGTTAAGGTTGTAGCTTTTAGTCTAGGGTTTAGGGGTTTAGGGTTTAGGGCCTTGGATGTTAAGGTTGTAGTTTTTAGGGTTTAGGGTTTAGGATTTGGGGGTTTAGGATTTAGGGTTTAGGGGTTTAGGATTTAGGGCTTTAGGGTTTGGGGGTTTAGGATTTAGGGTTTAGGGGTTTAGGATTTATGGTTTAGGGGTTAAGGGTTTAGGGGTTTAGGGGTTCGGGATTTAGGGCTTTAGGGTTTAGGGATTTAGGGCTGTAGGGTCTTAGGGGTTTAGGGTTTAGGGTGCAGGGGTTTAGGATTTAGGGTTTAGCAGTTTTAGGGGGGTCTGAGGCCGATTTGTGGCCTTGATGTTAAGGGTTTAAAGGCCTTGGTATTAAGGCTTCAACGCCGGCCTAAGGTCATGACATTCAGGGTTTAGGGCTTCTTTCTTTGGTATTTAGGGCTTATAGGGTTTATAGGCCTTGTACAGAGGCCTTGGTATAGTACCCACTTTCGGTATATGGACCCTGAGGAGGGTGGGGAAGGAGGACGACAGGCTTCGGGTTACAAGTTTATTGGGGTTACCTACGGGTTTTTGGTTTACGGGTTCAGGGCTACTTCTTCAGGTTTGGGTCCAGTAGGTGGTTTCGGTTTAAGACGATTTACAGGTGTGCGGTTACTTCAGGGTTGGTTGCTTGAGCCCCTTACAACTACTGGAGCGCTTATAACGCGACATCTTCCGGAGAAGTGTGAGGCTTAGTTGAAACACCTTGCTGTCTGTGTTCCGCCCAAAAACCGAAACCCTGAGGCTTACACACGAGCCCCAATCCTCAACCCTCATCCATAACCCCTAGGCCGTGAACCCTAAACCCCCAAGCCTTTAAACCCCTGAACCCTGCGCCCCAAAATCCTGGGCCCTAAACTCTAAACCGCCAAACCCCGAACCCTGCGCCCCAAAATCCTAGGCCCTAAACTACCCTAACATCAACCCTAAACCCCCAAACCTCTAAACCCATAAACCCTACGCCCCCAAAATCCAGTCCGACCAGGAAGACGTCCGATCCGAGTCCTGCAGAGAGCGACATGGCAACTACCCCTGCGCGCTCCCAAAGGCGCAAGGGTGTAGGGTCTAGGGATTACCTATAGGCCCCAAAGTAGTTCCTTTTGGGGTTCATATATAGAATCCTATAAGGTAACCCCAAAAAGGAACTACTTTAGGGCCCATAGATAAGTTTAGGGTAGTTTAGGAGAGCTTGGGATTTAGCGTTTAGGATTTATCGGCTTGAGCGTACAGGGGTATCGGGATATTGAGGGCTTCTGTGGATTGACTGGCGGGCAGGCTGTTCACGTTAGCTCGCAGCAACCGTCACTGCACTCTTAACTCTAACCCCTAAGCCCTAGACCCCTAAGCCCTAAACCCTGAACCCCCAAACCCAGAACCCTTAAACCCTAAACCCGACAAATAGAAGCGGAGCTGTCTTACTCAGAGGTCCCGCAAAAAGACATAGGCAGATCGATGAAGGAACCGCTTCACCCCAAATTACTTATTTCTCACTCAAGGGAATCATAATGAGGAGCCCGAAAAAAGGTAGGTTTCTGAGAGTCCAGGCCTTCTTTAAGGGGTAGGTCAGCCGCAGGCGAGGCCGACAGTCCCGCTTCGGATGCAGCCGCAAATGGAACTCCGTGGAAGTAGGTCCTCTATCGTAGCCGCGCAGGCAACATTTCCGTCTCTATGTCGGGCTTCTATATCCTACCACAAGTCATGACAGTTTCTGAAAGGAATAGTTACTTGCACCCTTGGGCAGGGGGGGTCGTGTGCAGTGAGTAGGGTTTGGGTTTGAGGTTTTCGTGCTTAATTAAGCTAAAGCCCTGAAACCTGAATCCTAAATCCTAAGGGGTTGGGGTGTAGTCCGGAGTCAGGGGGTTTTACAACATCCACGGCTCAGGATTTAAGGTCTAGTTTCGATGCAAGCCGTTTTGGAACAGGTTCAAGCAGACGGGAAACCTACGGGGATGTAGGTTGAAGGGTTTGGGGTTTAGGGTTCAGGGTTACACCCGAAGTCTTGTGCCCGCGAGGCCAGTGTAATCATGGTCTTCCACAACGAGCATATGCCAACCTTGTCCCGCTCCAAGATGCCAGCTAGGAAGCTCCAGGGCTTCTTCCGTGGGTGGCGCGCTCTTCCTAGCAAACTCGTGAGTTCAAACACCGTGGCATCAGTTTGTCCTTTTTTGCATGTTCTTGCGCAGGATTTATCGCAAAGACTCGGCAGAGACTGTAGGTGTTGGCAAAGGCTGGGTTCTGTAAAAAAGATTCAGCAGCATAGCACAGGGTTTTGACGAGTACCCATTGATCCAGCGTCTGTCTTTGCCCTAAACCCTAAACCCTATAAAATCCTAAACCCTAAACCCTAAACCCTATAAAATCCTAAACCCTATAAAATCCTAAACCCTAAACCCTAAACCCTATAAAATCCTAAACCCGAAAGCATTGGAGGATAGCGGATGGGACTTCCGCCCGTGTGGTGGGAAGGTCCAGGGTTCAGCGGTTCGGAAACTTCAAGATTTAGGGTTTAGGGTTTAGGGTTCAGGGTTTAGGGTTTAGGGTTTAGGGTTTAGGGTTCAGGGTTTAGGGTTCAGGGTTTAGGACCCTAAGGCTCCAAGTATACAAATAGTACCTACTTTGGGGTCTAATGTCTATAAATAGTGCCTACTTTGGGCTATTTGGAGCCCCAGGGTACATAGAGCTTCACAAGGGGTTTAGGGTTCTTTCTGTTTGTACCGGTTCTTTACAGACTCTCTACAGGGGCTTTAGAAGGTTATTCTACGGTTTTAGGGTTTCGGGTGTCCTAACACCCGAACTCACTAGCCCAAAGCCTCCGGCCGCCACAAGGGCATGCAGGAGCGATGCTACCTCTGTCGTGAGAATCTCAAAGCCCTAAACCCTATAAACCCTATAAGCCCTATAAACCCTACAAACCCTAAACCCTAAACCCTAGAAGCCCTAAACCCTAAACCCTATAAGCCCTAACAATGCCGGCACCATAAGCACATCCTTCGGTGCCGGTGACGCATGTTGTGAGACCTCGGACTCGTCTCGAGGACCAGGGCCTTCCATTGAGCAAGAGACGGAAGTGACGGAGTCGTGAGGGGTGAGGAGAATGATGACAATAGCGATAACAGGAACAATATTACCTTAGTGGCTGAGTAGGTAACCTTTAACCTTTTGGGCCTTATATAATCCTACTATAATTCAAAAGGTTAACCTTTTTTGGGCTAGGGTACTCAGCCCCAATATTACGAATAATGAGTCATGAGAGCAACAATACTAAACAACAATCGTAGCAATATCGAAATGATGCCTGCCTCCGTGGTCTTGGTCTTCGCGCGAGGCTTCGTGCCTAGTGGAAAAGGAGCTCAACAGAGGCACCTAAACATCCTGCAGCTTTCCTAAATCCGTAACCCCTAAGCCTTCTTCAACCTTCAAAACACAAAAAAACCCTAAGCCCTAACCCTAAACCCTAAACCCTAAACCCTAAACCCTAAACCCTAAACCCTAAACCCTAAACCCTAAACCCTAAACCGTAACCCTAAACCCTAAACATGTCCGAATCCTGAACCCTAAACCCTGAACTCGAAGCCCTAAAACCTAAGGCCTAGAACCCCAAGCCCAAGGGGTTCCGTGGCTTTGCTTCCGGCTTCCAAGTCCTCCCGTGAACCAGAGCACCCGAAATTTGGGGGGTTTAGGGTTTAGGGTTTTGGCGTTCGACTTTAGGGCTTAGGCTTGAGGGTGTAGGCTTGATCTAGGACGTTTTCAGGTGGGTGGTTACCGTTATAGGAGCCTTATAGAAGGTCTATATACCTTACAGCAGCCTTATAGAAGACTTATATACCCCAAACTCCCCACCTGTAGTTTCCTTTAACTTGGAGTTGAGGGTTTAGAGGCTTTACAGGGTTGAGGGCTACGTGGCAAGAGACAGAGAACCCCCCCTTCTAGCCGCATATGATCATGCGATCATATAAGATAGGGGCCTTAATACTTAGAATAGGGTTTGGGTTTATATTGTACTATATATATATATATATATTTACAATAAGGAACTCCCAAAATAGTATAGGTAATTATTAAGGCCCCTTTATTGCCCTGGACATCCTAGTCTGATCAGTAGTATGGCGAAAGCAACAGCATACAAGGCCCGGAAGCCACAAAACCCATAAGCCAAAGTTCTGCGTCCGAGAATCCCTGAAGCCCTAGACACCTGAAAGCCCACAACTCGATTCCCATGGAACCCTGAACCCGAAGCCCCAACTCCTTGAAATCCCAAAGCTCGGCAGTGCTGGATTCCACGTACATGGGTATGCATAAATGAATGTATTTTATATGTATGTGTGATGTATGTATGTATGTATGTATGTATGTATGTATGTATGTATGTATGTATGTATGTATGTATGTATTCATGCATGCATGCATGCATGCATGCATGCATGTATGTATGCAAGCGAGCAAGCAAGCACGCAGGCAGGCAGGCAGGCAGGCAGGCAGGCAGGCAGGCAGGCATGTATGTACGGCCGTAGGCATGTACGTTTACGGCATATCTACTTAGTTTTTCTAAGTAAGCTAGTGTTCGAACATGTGCAGCAATTTCGAAGCCCGAAGGTTACGCTCCGTACATTCGGTGCTGAACCTTTCTCCGGCAGATCTCCTGGAGGAGGTGTCGCAGTGCTCGGGTTCAGGATCTGGGGCTTAGAGTGGTTCGTGGGGGGATCTATGGTAGAGGGGCCTTAATAACTAGAATAGGGTTTTGGGGCCCATTATACTATAATTATAATAAGGAACCCCCAAAATGGTGTAGGTAATTTTTAAGGCCTCTATATTATACCCTAAACCCTAAACCTAAACCCGTTATCACCGTTTTAGGAGCCCAAACCCCTTAGGGCGCAGGGCGGGGCCTGAGACTTAGGAATTTCGTTTTAGCATCTGAGCGTGTTGGATTCAGGAAGGAAGTTTTCGGCTAGAAATATCGGGGCCTTAATAATTACCTATACTACTATTTTGGGGCTTCCTTTTTATAGCTATAGTATTTGATATCCCAAAACCCTATTCTAAGTATTAAGGCCCCTACGTTATACGGTCAGATTTAGGGTTGATGACCGGGACACTGATTGTACACTCAAACAGGGGTATTTAGGGTTTCGGGTTTAGGGGCGAAAATTCCCATAGAATGGGTACTCAAGGTCAACTAGAGGGTAGATGGAGGGCCTAGGGTTATCGAGCTTTTGGTTGGGAGCTTCCCTTTGAGTTCTGCGCTCCGAAGGAAAAACACGCCTCAGAGAAAGTCTGGAGTTGAAAAATCCCACAACCTCACTAGCCCCTAGACCCTGCGTGGTATGTGTGCAAACATATGAGTAATTCTCAAATTTAGGGTCCCGTTTAGGGCCCTTTTTATAAAGGATGCCGTGTTTTTGCGGGACCTAAAGAGGGACCCTGATTTGGAGAACTAACCAGAGGGATCATGGTCCCTTTGGAGAACCCCGATTCTACTCGCAAAACGGCAGACTATAATTTGGGAATCCGGCCGAGGCCCCTTATTTGGGCAACCCTAAGCCCTAACCCTAATCGTAGACTACCGGCCCACTACATAGACGCCTCAAACCCTTACCACCAACCCTAACTGATTGTCAACCCTGGACGCAAACCGTTCAGGCAAAGTCCTACAACTTCCCCTAACCCCACCCCCGTTAACCCCTTGACAAAACCTTCAGAAGATTCAATCGCATGCTACACCCGATCGAAATGGCCGAAAATGAACCCTGAGGCCTTTCATGTGGGAACCTGAGAAAGAAACCTAGGCCCTGCAACCCCAAATAAATAATTAGGGTTCATATTAAGAACCGTAATAACGACCCAGGACTTGTGAATCAAGTTCCTATAGTAAACCTTAAGCTACCCTAAACCCTAAACCCTTAACCCTTAAAACCTAAACACCGAACTCTATGGATCATTTAAACCATCGGGTTCTTTTTCTGCAGCCATCTCCAAGAATTTCAGATCCTGGTCTGGGCAAAGTCCACGGCCGAAGGACAGTCGCAGGGTCCTGGGATTGTTGAAAGTTCTGGGTTTCCGGGGGTTTGTTCTGATTTCAGGGTTGGGTTTCGGATATAGCTGTTCTTATTTGCGTCTGGTTTCGTGGTGTTCGGATCCTGTTCACGGAGTCCCGGTCCGGATGACCGTCGTGTCTACCCATAGGCCCTAAAGTAGTTCCTTTTTGGGGTTCATATATAGAATCCCAAAAAGGAACTACTATGGGGCCTATGGGTTTAGGGTGGTACTTCATGTTTCAGTCCTGCAGAATCTCGCATTTTCTCTGCTTGATGACGGTTCGAGAATCTGAAGTTGATCCTGCACCCTTAAGCCCCTACATGGATGGTTGTCAAAATTATGGTCCCTTTCTGGGTCCTTATTATAATACGGCACCTGTTATTTAGGGTACCCTAAAAGGGACCCTAATTTTGACAAATACCCACATAAACCCCAGACCCGAAAAAAGCCTAGCCCTAAACCCTGTAGGATCAAATGCAGACTGCTGGCACCAGGAGCCGCGATGTTGCACCGATGTGCTGTGTCCAATGCCTGCTGCCCCAAACTGAGTGAGGAGGTGGGTTTACGGTCTTTAGGGTTATTGGGAGATATTGGAGCATCATGGGATGTAGTAAGTAAGGTCATATGTACCTTAATTGGTAGTTGCCTTATGTTTCACCCTGGTTACTAAGTCTCATGATCCTTTTAGTAGGGTTTGAGGTGTGGGGTGTTACAGGTATTTCTGGGTTTAACTGGATTTCTTTCAGGTTCGGAGTTGTGAGGATTTCAGGCGTTTTTCCCGTACACGGTGTCGGAAGGGTAAAGGATCCCTAAACCCTAAACCCTAAACCCTGAACCCTAAACCCTAAACCCTAAACCAGCGGGATTTAGAGGGCTTCGGGGTCGCGAAGTTGCTCGGGGCTCAAGCACGGGAAGGCCGCCCCGCATAGGTTTAGGGTTTATAGGGTTTGGGCTTCCCTAAACCCTAAACCC